CCAGTTCCACTGGAACTGGCCAGTCAGTAGAAACCCCCACATCCAAACCAGTGCCACTAGTTAACTCAGAGACATCTCACGTTACGAGAAACACATCCAAGTGTCTCTACACCAACGTGAAAGGACTCCGAAGTAAAATGCCAGAGCTCCGATCCCTCTGTCTCGACCTCGCCCCGAAACTCATGATCCTGACAAATACGTGGTTGTCACCAGACATAATTGACACCGAAGTTAACATAGATGATATGATTCTGTCAAGCAGAGACAGGAGGGGAGGTTGCAATATACGTGAACAAGTGGTTCAGAAGTGAGCAAACCACTGACAGAGCTCCCAGACTCTATCTGGTGCCACTTCACGGTCAAACACCAAATTCCTAGTTGGAGGAATCTATAGGTCCCCTAATAGCAACCTGGAACACAACCAAAAACTACTCCAAGCAATATCCACAGTGTCAACTATAAGGTACGACCAGATTTTAATAGCTGGCGACTTCAACGCTCCAACCCTCAGCCTAGAGCAAGGTGGCACTACCCCGAGCCGGAAGTTAGACTGTAACCTGCTAAACGCCATCCAAATGACTGGACTGCAGGAAAAAATCAGCGAAAACACCCGCTGGGGGTCAGATGGTAAACCATCTTAACTGGATTACCTACTGACTACTGATCCCTTTCTGGTTGAAAACGTTCAGGTACAAACCCCTCTTGGAAGTAGCGATCACGCTACGGTAACGTTCGACCTGGTATTTAGTGAAGAGCTATCATGGGAGGGACCTCGCCCTTACCTATGTTACAACAAGGCAAATTACGAAGGTATGAACAAGAGCCTTTCAACAGCTTCGTGGCCAGTGGATTGGTGTTCCTTGTCGATCGACCAGCACTGGGAACTAGTAAAAGATATCATTAAGGCGGCCGTCTCACAAAACGTCCCTCTCGCGGTAACAACAACCAGGAAGCGAACGTCATGGATAAAACGGGGCACTGAGCGTCCTCTAAAAGCCAAGAGAAGGGCATGGCACACATGGAGACTCTCCAGAGAACAGGACGACCATGACGCATACATGACTCTGCAGAAACGAAGCAACATAAGGGTGCGGGGAGATAGGAGGTCGTTCCTGTCTAACCTCGCCGAAAGGCTTCAGGTAAACCCTAAAAACCTTTACCGATTCATGGCAAAAAGAAAATCGACAAGCCGAAGAGCATGTGTCATAAAAGGTCCGAACGGAGAAAACCTCTCTGGACAGGAGATTGCTGGAATGCTGAGCACCACATTTGACACAGCTTAACATTCCATCAAGAAAGTGCGCATACCAATTGCACGAACAGCCCCAACGTTACCCGATGCTACTGAGTTACACGAAATACAGATAACCCGTGGCTGGATTATGATAGTTTTTTTTATCCTGCATGTATGAATTTAACCGTTCCTGTAGAACTAGTTACACAGGGAGTACGACTAGGCAGGTGCGTCCCTGGATACGACAGCATTTACTAGCTTGGTTCCGAAAGGGCGAAGTGAAACTGGAGAAAAGTTCAGTCCCAGAGTACCTAGTCGATAGAAGACATCTCATAGATGTTACTGAAGCTTTCAGTGTCATTAATCGTAGTCTAAAAACCACCAAGTGTAGCTCACCAACCCCCGCTTAACATAGTGGAGGCTGTTGAAATAAAGTTGATCAAACCTGAACTAAGCATTCTGGAAGAATATGTTTTAGCATTACTTCTCCAATGGCATTCAGTAAACTAAAGGCCAATCCTGCCTTCATTCGTTAACTTTCTGTTCATTATCCGATTATTCTTCTGTATATATTTCATCCGAATATTGATAAATTACCAAGGACGATGAAAAAGCCTGAAACAAACATCTACAAGGAGCACTTACCTACAACATGTAAGGATGGAAAGCGTTTCCAACTGGATAACAGAAATCGAAAGTATTAATGCTTTCATTTTGGAAAAGATTCGTTATAAGGCCCAGTCCCACATAAAACATTGTTATTGATTTTAACACTTTCAACTTGTCATTCTCACACCATTTCTACAGCGTGACTAATAGCTTATTTTCTGCCCCCATTTGTAATGTAATTCGCTGATTGGTTAATCCTTGCGCTTACTATGTTATTGTCCAGTTATCAGACAAGGTCATGTTTCATGTGCATACAAACTCACCTGTTTTTTGAATTAACTGACCGTTATTCGCTCCCAACCAGCTTCGGTCCTCTTCTCAGTTCGTCCCGGATTGCATTCGGTGGCTCTTACGTACGAAGTTGCCTGTCAGTTAAGCGTTCGTATCATATTCATTCGGAATATATGAAAAGCACACTGTGTGATACAGTATTATCTGCAGGATGACGTTTAGAGCATAAATTATCATCACCCATGATCACACCAATGTAATCACAGTACTTTCTACATCTGAACAAGATATCATCGATGTCAGATGATGGCCCGTCAGATAGTGCTATGAGTGATCGCAAGCAGCCACGAATCACAAAGAAAGCACGCATGTCTAAACGAGAATTGAGCTGAAACTGTTCGTGGTAAAAACACTAGTAAGGCTACACCAGACGGTAAGTGCTTTGCTTATTTTGCATGAAAATCCCCCTTCAATATAACCGAAATCCAGCACTCCGCGTTTCTAACACCAGTGCTGTTCACTCGAGTACTCTGATATGATATTCACTCACTGTTCAGTGTGCCAGTTGCACGAGTACTTGATCACTCACATAAACTGAGTTGGTCGCCCTCAGTGTATTGTGGCCTCGCTATGCTAATGTATCACAATTGCTTATGCTCACCTGGATTTTATTGAGCGCTTGCAGTGCAATAAACATTGTGCATCTCAAGGTATACACATTCACGACTCGATCTTCTCGATTCACTTCAATTCACTCGTAAATAAATCATGAACATGATGATGATGATGATGATGATGATCTAGAAATAACGATGTGAATAAGTAATAATGAATGGAGTTATTAAAATTGGTTATATGAAGAGATTTATTGTTAGGTGAATGAGTGAGTGTTCAGTAATAAACTGACTGAACAAACATGAAAAATCGCTCCATTTACCTAAGATTTAACTTCCTCATATAACCAACCAATTTTATAACAACTCCACCTTCATTTCTAAATCATCATCTTCATGACTTGTTTGACGTACACAATGTCTATGATTATTATTCACCACTTGATTAGTAATTTGATTAAACTGTGAAAGTAAATATTAGCGTAGAGCCCGTGACGAAGATGTGATTGAAAAGGAATATATTTGTTCAATTGTTCGCTCGGTCAGTCTTTTTCTAAATATCTTTATGGAAATATTCAGTGTGCTGAAGCCTTTTCAGCATCGAATTGCGTCAAAGTTTCTCAATGAGTAACTGAAGTACAACGCAAGGCTCTCTTATGCCAAGGTGTTACTGTAGATTTTATCGACAAATGGATTTCAACGATGTGTTACCCTAAATAATATTGAAGATTTTTCCGACGCTTCGTGTTTCAGCCTACTGAAAGAGCCCTGAAACATTATGCTCTGAATGAGGTTGACTCACTATTATCTTATTCTGGTGAAATGTGGAAAAATGTTACAGAGAGATTCCACGCTGTAGAAGGGCTTCCGGAAAATTTAAAACAGGAATTTTTGAGTTATGTAGAGAATGTTGTCAATGCATGGAAGGAAAAGAAGCGCATTAAGTTGATTAGAAGTCTTGAAAATCGAACACCAGAGATGAGATTCCCGACTAACCCAGGTCAGTTTGTGCACAATTTTTCTAGTATCGATGCTGATGTTATACACAATTAGAAGTTTTTTTCACTTGGATCAAACTTTTGTGACAGTCGTGATACGATCAGTAAGATGGAAACAGAAGTGCAGTTTGCAAACTTGTGTACACAGATTGAAGGTTTGGTACCATCATCTAGTGAAGACGTTGATAGACTTAAGACTACACTCGTTGACTCCTGCCTTAAGCACATGAGTAGTAGAAACCGTAAAAAGAGTATTTTAACGAAGAAAACAGAGAAGCTTTGCAAAAGCTTAAAACGTATGCAGATACCATGACTATTAAGCCAGATAAAAGAACAGGAATAGTTTTGATGGATAAAAAGGACTACATAAAGAAAATGAATGCTTTACTTAGTGATGAGAGTAAATTTCAGGAATTAGTCGCTTGTGATGATGTGACAGAGAAAACTGAGAAACATCTAACCGTATCACTGAAAAAAGATAAAACAACAGTGTTTCATTTCAGAAAGCACCTTTGAAATGCTCAAACCCACTGGAACCTTTACACCTAGACTTTATGGTCTACCAAAACTGCATAAAAACGGTCTGCCTCTCCGACCAGTTCTCGATATGATAAACACTCCGTATCAAACAAACCGCAAAATGGTTAGCCCAACTCTTGAAGCCTCTCCACAAAGAAGTTGTAAAGTAAATTCTCAAAGATACCTTTGAATTTGTTGAAGAGACTGAGGATCTGAAAGTAGATAATAAGTTAGTGATAACGTATGATGTTTCACCTCTTTTGACTAATGTTCTGTAGTGCACCTTCCTGGCACCAAAATATAACTAGGGCTAAAATAAATAGTTTAAATTAAATTAACTAAATAAATCTCTAGCTTGCCTCCGGATGCTTAGGGTGTTTTAAGTTTTGTTTTAACGAGCATGCATCCGAGCAGGCTTGGACGCCATTTTTGCGCTCCATTGTGCTGATCACCACGCACGTACTCCGAGTCCCTAGTTCAGCCTTACAAGCCAGATAAGTTGATTAAACTTTTCCCTCATTCATTATTATAACATTTACCTTAAATACATAGCTCCTTTAAATACATTGCGTATCAGTTCTTTTGATTTGTGTTTTGTTACCAGTACTTACACGTTAGGTAAAGTACTGGTTAAGCAGGTACTAGAGCACATCAAATTAAGTAGGGTTGATCAAACGTTACGGAATTGTAACACGCATCCCTACAAAATTGGTGAGCCCGAGTATCACTTCTTATTTTGTCTAGTACCTTTGTTCTCTTGCGTTGATTTGTCTGGCCTAATTTTGTTTTTGGCACGTCTAGCGTTTTTTTTATATTATTGCACTCCTCATTGGTTATTTTTGCATTGTAATTTTTTTTATTATCACTATCGTGCCTCGTTAATTCCCTGATCAATGGCGGATAACGACTCGACTGCGCAGATGGCCATAACCCTCCAGCTTCCCACCTTCTGGGCCCACAGACCATCTGCATGGTTCTCCCATGTGGAAGCTCAGTTTGCCTTGAGACACATTCAATCACAAGAAACTAAGTCCAACTTAGTCATCGTCAGCTTACCGGAAAATGTGATTGAAGACGTGTCAGATGTGCTAGATGACCCAGCACCGAATCTTTACGATCGCCTCAAAACCGCCCTCATCAAACGTGTTGCACTTACTGACCAGCAGAAAGTGCAAGAACTTTTCAGGGATGTGCATCTGGGTGATCGCAAGCCGACGCAACTGCTTCGTCAGATGAAGCAGCTGATTGCTGACTTCAACATTGATGAAGCATTTCTCAAGCAACTGTGGTTACAGAGGTTACCACAGTCGGTTCAAGGGATCCTCGCACCCTTCCATAAGTGTCCCTTAATAGAGTTGGCGGAAGCGGCTGACAGAGCTGTGGATGCTACGAAACCCAACACTAGTATCTCAGCTGCACTGTCTACTGCCACGGATTCGTTCAAAAACCCTCCCTCGGCTGTTGAGCCAACAAGTTTCGATGTTATAGCTCACATCTCAAAATTGTATGAAGAGTTGTGCAGCATCAGGAACGAAATGCGGTCTGGTAGTTCTTACAAAGGTCGCACGTCTCGCTCGCGCAACAGGTCTGCCTCCCGTACCGGTAGCAGACGTTCCAAATCGCGACAATCCCAACCCAGGTTGTGCTGGTACCATAAACGTTATGGTGCCAATGCCAAAAAGTGCACTCGACCTTGCACCTTCGAGGCTAACCAGGCGGGAAACGTGTGAGCCAGCACGTGACGGCGACTAACGTCGCTGGCGAGCCACTTCCATGTCGCCTCTTCTTCGTCACTGATCGACATTCTGGGATACGCTTCCTAGTTGACACTGGGGCAGAAGCTAGCGTCATCCCACCTACGAAGGAAGAGCGTCTGCGGCCAATGTCTCTGCAACTTCGTGCCGCCAACGGTTCGCCCATCACAACCTATGGTCGGAGATTCCTCGATCTCAACCTTGGATTGCGTCGTCCCTTTCGTTGGGTTTTCATAGTGGCAGATGTGACCACCGGCATTATTGGTATGGATCTCTTGCAGCACTATCAGCTGCTGGTAGATGCTGGCAAGCATAAGTTGATAGATTCTACCACAACACTCTCTGTTTCCGGTATAGTCACAAAGACGCCGCCCCTCAGTCCCGTGTACTGCACGACGGACGCTTCTAGTCCCTATGCGTCTATCCTTCAGTCCTTTCCGGATGTCTTTAAGCCAAGTCGTTGTGTCCCTTGTGTGACTTCGAACGTTTCTCATCACATAACGACGACTGGCCCTCCAGTATTTGCGAAACCACGGCGATTATCCCCGGAGAAACTGCGTGCTGTAAAAGCCGAGTTCGAACACATGCTTGAAATGGGAATAATCAGACCATCCAACAGTCCATGGTCTTCACCCTTGCATGTGGTACCCAAGAACAATGGCATGGACTGGAGGCCTTGTGGTGACTACCGAAGGCTCAACGCTAAAACGATTCCAGATCGTTACCCAGTCCCTCACATTCACGACTTGACTGCATCTTTAAAAGGCTCGGTTATCTTCAGTAAGCTTGACTTGACGCGTGCATATCATCAGATCCCGGTTCATCCTGATGATGTTCCCAAGACAGCCGTCATTACACCGTTTGGTCTTTTTGAGTTCCTCCGTATGCCTTTTGGTCTTCGCAATGCAGCACAAACCTTCCAACGTTTTATTCACGATGTTTTACGTGGACTCGATTTCGCCTATGCCTACCTAGACGATATACTAATCGCTAGTCCTGACGAAGACACCCATTTTAACCACTTGAAACAGGTTTTCGCCAGACTGTCAGAGCATTCGATGACAGTCAACCTGGCCAAATGCCAATTGGCGTTCGTTCACTAAAATTTTTGGGACACGTTATCGACGAGCAAGGCATTCGCCCACTACCTGAAAAGGTACAGGCGATCCAAGACTTCCCAGTCCCAGCGTCACTTAAAGCTCTGCGTGTGTTTCTGGGTATGGTGAGCTATTATCGTCGCTTCGTTCCCCAATGTGCACACATTTTGACTGCACTGACCGACCTGCTGAAAAGTAAATGTAAAACTTTCAGCTTGACTCCGGAGGCACTAGAAGCATTTCGCAAGATCAAAACCGCAATAGCAGACGCCACGATGCTGGTGCATCAAGACGTAAACCTACCTCTTAGCATTGCGGTTGACGCCTCTAACACGGCCATTGGAGCTGTGTTGCAACAACTTTCGGATCACACTTGGATCCCAGTTGCATTCTTCTCCCGGAAGTTATCCACCTGCGAAATGCGGTACAGCACTTTCGGCAGGGAACTGCTCGCCATATATGCCTCAGTGAAACATTTTCGTCATTTTGTGGAAGGTCGTGACTTCATCATCTTTACCGACCATAAACCTCTGACGTATGCCTTACACACCACTACTGACAGATATTCACCGCGTGAATTACGTCACCTAGATTATATTTCGCAATTCACGTCGGACATCCGTCATATTTCTGGTGTGAATAACCCTGTCGCGGACGCACTGTCTCGCGTTTGCACCACTACTTTGCCTCGAGCAGTCGACTTACGGAAGATTGCCGAACTTCAGGATTCAGACGAGGAGATTGAAAAACTTCAACACTCATCCTCTCTGAAGATACAGCGTTACCGCTCCTGAACAGTGAAGTGTCAATATTGTGCGACACCTCCACAGGCACACCCAGACCGGTTGTTCCTTTACCCTTGCGTAAGCATGTTTTTGATGCTTTGCACAATCTTTCACATCCTGGCATCCGCGCCACTGACAAGCTCATATCTGCTAGGTTTGTTTGGCCTGGTATTAACCGTGATGTTCGAAACTGGACACGGTCATGTATTCAGTGCCAACGTTCCAAGGTGAATCGTCACAACATCCCACCACTTGGAACTTTCGCCAAACCTGACTCACGATTCGCTCATGTCCACTTAGACATTGTCGGCCCACTTCCACCCTCCAATGGATATAGTTACCTACTGACATGTGTCGATAGGTTTACTCGCTGGCCGTTAGCCATCCCACTGTCTAACATTACTGCCGAAACAGTAAGTCGGGTTTCGTCGAAGGATGGGTTTCACAGTTTGGATGCCCTTCCACCGTGACAACCGACAGAGGCCAACAGTTCGAATCCGCTACCTTCCAGAAGCTGATGAATCTGTTGGGATGCAAACGCATCCGCACTACCGCATATCATCCAGCTTCCAATGGTTTGGTGGAGCGATTCCACCGACACCTTAAGAGCGCACTAATGGCAGTCGACAATATGAAATGGACTGAGTCTCTGCCGTTGGTTCTTCTCAGCATCCGTTCTACACTCAAGACTGATATACAGTGTACACCTGCTGAGTTAGTTTACGGTAGTAACTTACGTTTGCCGGGTGAGATGGTCGCTTCAGACTGCAGTGACCCAACTCCTACCGATATCCATGGCTATGCTCAAACTCTTAAGTTACACATGCGTCGCCTCCAACCCTCATCCACACGGATACAGTGTAGACGGGTGCAGCTGGATAAAAGACTCCAAGATTGCACTCACGTCTTTGTGCGTTGTGACGGTGTACGTAAACCCTTACAGCCACCATACGACGGACCCTTCAAGGTTCTCAGTAGGAAAGAAAAGTTTTTCGTCATTGACAGATCTGGACGGCAGGATTCTATAAGTGTCGATCGTTTGAAGGCAGCTTATATAGAGGACGACCCACCTTCCTCTACACCGACACAACTAGAAAAACCCTTGCCGCCAGACTCCCAAAAGACTCGTTTAGTCGCGCGTATCCTGAACCTTCTAAAAGAGCCACGTCTAGTAACACTGATCCAGTAACCTCTACACGTGCTGGGAGGCGTGTACATTGGCCCAAGCGATACGCCGAGTTCGTTAATTAGCCCCAGAGCAACTTCACACTTGGTGAATTCGGAGTTTCAACTACTTTGTCGTGGCATACACTTTCAATGCGTTTTCATACCTAAAGTTTTCAAAAGTCATGTTTACTACTTTGCAAACAGTTTTTTTTTCAAAAAAAAGAAAATCAAAAAATACAATTTAAATTCCGAAAACTTTTTTTTGGTTGGTTATTATTTTTTTTCTGTACTCCTCCCACTTCGAATTGTTTGGTTTTCTTTTCTTAGCACTCTAATGTCCCATTTCTTTCTTCTTGCAGAACCTAGAAAATGCGTTGAAAATATACAATTGGCCGCTGACGATGCTACTTGGATCGTTCTTCGGTTCTCTTTGTACCAATTTCCCCCTGTACACTCCCCGGTAGATTAAGAAGCAATAGGGAAAAGTAGATGGAGGCTTTGGGTCACCTTCCACCACTGCGAGAAGGGTTGCGTCTAGACGCAAAGATATCTTACCTCGTAGGTGTGCATAGTTGCACTAGCTTCGGAGACCCACACGTCACCTACTCCATCATTAATATGGAAAGGTGTTGCGTGTCCGCCTCGTAGTCGCCTCCTAGGATCGAAGGTTGCCGGTATCCCAACAACCTTCTAGGAGGGGGATAACCTGTAGTGCACCTTCCTGGCACCAAAATATAACTAGGGCTAAAATAAATGGTTTAAATTAAATTAACTAAATAAATCTCTAGCTTGCCTCCGGATGCTTAGGGTGTTTTAAGTTTTGTTTTAACGAGCATGCATCCGAGCAGGCTTGGACGCCATTTTTGCACTCCATTGTGCTGATCACCACGCACGTACTCCGAGTCCCTAGTTCAGCCTTATAAGCCAGATAAGTTGATTAAACTTTTCCCTCATTCATTATTATAACATTTACCTTAAATACATAGCTCCTTTAAATACATTGCGTATCAGTTCTTTTGATTTGTGTTTTGTTATCAGTACTTACACGTTAGGTAAAGTACTGGTTAAGCAGGTACTAGAGCACATCAAATTAAGTAGGGTTGATCAAACGTTACGGAATTGTAACACGCATCCCTACACATTGTTTATAGAACTGTTTTTAATAACAGATGACAAAGACTGCATGAATTTACTATGACTAGTTAAAGACAATTAGTTTGAACAACAAATCAGCCAACTAACAGCGTAAAGACAGATATTTCAACATGCATCGTTTGTTAGTATATATGCTGATGTCGAATAAAAACCTGAATATTCTGTTGAAGAAGCTGTGGGATGCACAGAGAAACATTCAGAAAAATCTTGTTTTCGATTTTCTAAGCACCCTGAGATTATGTTAAAACTATGGCATGGATGTTTATAATATGGTATACTATGTATGTTTAGTGTTGCACAAACTCGAAAATCTACGGGTGAAAACTAACAAGCTGACCGAATAGGTAGGGCAGCGAAAATAGGGCTTCAAACGAATGTAGAGAAGACGGAGGTGATGAAGATACCTAGTCAACAACGGCATCAACAACGAATACCAATAGCCACTAACGGCAGAAAGCTGAAGGAATTAGTTTCTTTCACCTACACCTATCCAGGCGGGCAGCATTGTTTCAACTACGGGCGAGGATGTCAGAACAGCCAGGATCGGAAAAGCAAGACAGACCTTCCTTCAATAATCTGAAATTAGTGTGGAGATCTAATGCACTGCACTCAACATAAAGCTTGAACAACATCCAGATTGTCAAAACTAAGTCAAGTCAGTTATTCTGTGTGATGGTTAATAGACTTGGCGCGTTACGGAAAGCATTTCCAACAAACTACAGACATTCACCAACAACTGTCACCTACGCTCACTCAATGCTGAAGATCAGATGGCCAAAATAATAAGAATAAGCAAAAAGGGACTCTGGGAACGAACCAATCAAGAACCTGTCAAGCAAGAAACATGCAGAAGAAGGAAGTCGAGATGGATTGGACTGGGCATATACGGAGAAGACTATTTAGGGACATCACGTACCAGGCCAGGCCGTCGAGTGAAACCCGCATGGAAAACGACGAGTTGGGCGTCGGAGGCAAGGGTGGCATGGAAGAGATCATGTGAGGAAGAAATGAAAGCTTATGAGCAGTCGTGGAGCCAGGATGAAAAGATTGCAGAGAACAGAGTGCAGTGGAGGCGTGCTACTGAAGCCCTATGTTCCACTAGGAACCCAAGGGGAAAAAAATAATGTATATATATTCAGTCTTCTATGATAAAAGAAGTAGGTTAGTGTTAACCATTGCAATGGTTATTTGCAGATATATTTGGAGTCTTGAAACGGTATATATGCATTAGAGAAGTGACTGTTAGTTTATCCTGGAACTAGTTTCAGGTCCCATTCAACATTGGTTGACTCGCGGCTGCTAAACTTTCAGTCTTTGATAACAAAAGAAGTGATTTGCCCATTTGGCCTATGTTAATCCTCACAGTAGGTTTTTGTTTATGAAGAACTTGTTTGTACTTGAATACGTTCACCGAAATAGCTGATATGACTGACCTCAAAAAGGAGTTCCCGTGATCGACTAGTCTATATGATAAGTGTTGGTTAACGCCTAGTTGACTCGATCGTAACTTTGAAGATGATATATCCTTGGTAGAGAGGGAAAACAGGATATGTCAATCCAAAGATTGGTGCTAAGGATACAGGATGAAAATATTAGTCCCTGTTTTCTCCTAACATAAGGTAATTGGAAAAGATCTAGTCCACACAAATGGTTTTCATGGGACAGGTAAGAATGACTAGTTCATAGCTAGATACGAAGTCTTTTACCACGCTTTGGTACCTTAAAATCTTTTAAGAAGCAAGTGCTAGCCACTTAAGTACAATATTGAAGGTGGGGTTGCATAAACGTGGGGTACAATTTCCGAAACGTTTCCCCAACAAAGCATTTACATGCACTGAGAAGAAGTGGGTAGCGGTACTATAATTCAATGGAAACTGTCTATTATCTGCCCTGTAACCTGAACTGTTTATAACATATTTCCAATCTCAGAA